TAGATAGATAGATAGATAGATAGATAGATAGATAGATAGATAGATAGATAGATAGATAGATAGATAGATAGATAGATAGATAGATAGATAGATAGGGTGATGTATAGGCACATCAAAGGTAGACAGGCGGGACAGGCCTTTCTTCACAGCAGCACAGCAGCCTGCATCCACTCTCAAAACTAATACTGTAACCTGATTCTAAATGTGGGACGCTGGCTGGCCTAGGGCAGGTAGTCCTAAGCTAAGAATGCATGTAGACAAGTGCACCTTCGGGGATGGCAGAAAACAGATGTGCTTTGTTGTTGTTTGTTGTTTTCAGCTGAACATTTTACTGCTCTCTTTTTATATACCCTCTCCTCCTTCTAACAGAGACTCACATAGTGGGGAAAATGGTCAGAGGGAGGATGGGTTTGTTGAGTCTCTAAGAAGAGCAATCCAGCGCGGTAAGAAAAAAAAGAAAATGGAAGAAAAAAAAAACGGAGGACTTCCTTCCAGCCTGTCAGTTTCTTAGCATCATCCGTGTTGCTCTTCTTGTTAAATGCGTCAGTTGTTTTCTGGCTCCACTGTCTGGCAGCATTAGTGTGGACTCCACATATTCATAATCTTTTCTGTTAACAGTCAGGGGACTTTTTCCTCTCATCATGTTAAGACACTCTTATCTCAGTTATTGTCATCCTCACCTGCGCTGTAGAATAGGCTGCCAGCTTCTCCTCAAACTAAAACAAATGATATTTTCATCTAAAAGGGCAATCTCCTCAGGAGGCTGCAGCCATGATGAATGATTCACATTTAGCCAAGCATGACTTGGACACCTTTTGAATAAACAACTGAAACTGCTAATGAACACACAGAGCGAACAGGACTGGGATCAGTACTTTGCTTTTAGAGGCTCATCCAGTCAACCGGGATCTTGCTTTGCAAGTTAGTCGTAATAGCAAGACAGTAAGGTGATTGAAGTCATACATAAAAAGTCATCATGAGATGAAAAATATCAATTATTTAAAATCCCAAGTCAAAACTGTGCAATTTAAAAGCTAAAAATGATTAAATCATAAGTAAAATATTTGAGAAAAGTCAAAATTATAGCTTACTTAATCAAAATGAGAAGAGAAAAAACAGAAAAAATGGGAAAGATCATAAATTTTTGAGTGAGGAATTTAAATGTGGACGTCGTCATATTCTGACATTTTCAATTACACCCTGTGCAGAGAAATTTGACTCAGTACATCAAAATATTAACCTACTTTGAGCATTTTAATTATATCATTACACACTTTTCACCCCCCTCCCTTTGACTTGCAGAAATGGCCTTATATAAGCGATTCTGTCAAGTGACATCCCAGGCAGAGACGTAGGTTGTTTAGCATGATAGACATGTTTGCTGTTTTCCACTGGTAGTGACAACATTATCGTTGTAGTGATTAAAAACTCTAACCTCCCAGCTGGCAATTGGGACCGGTCCCCTCACTGCTAATTATCTCCGGGGAAAGAGGGGAGTGCTGCTGCTAATTAAAAAGCAATCTGTGATCCCAAAATATTTCCTCAACTGCCGTCATCCACCGAGGAAGAAAAAAAACAAACTCCCTATTTAAAGAGACACTCTAGGCACCATTACACCATAGGAGAACTTTCAGGCAATTCATAAATGAAAACTAGCTGTCATCTTGGACTAAATATCATCCTAGCCTGCTCATCGGCGAAACCAGAGACATGCTCATCTTTCCCACTTTGAAAGAGCGGTGCAGAGAGCCTTGTCAAAATGGGAGTAATTTGTACAGTAAAGATGGAGGATGATTGTACTTCCTCTAGTCTGTTAATATAACTGTGCAGTCTTCATTTAAGCTGTGAAAGAGATGATGTTTGCCCATAATGGCTCCTGAACAATGGCCACAAATCGGCAGGGAAAGACAGTGAAAGTAATCAATTGCTTGGGCGTAATGGAGGCAGAGATTGGACCGTCCCTGAGCTCCCACGGAGCCTGGTTGGAGTCTGGATGGATTGGCAGCGCCTACAAGAGATGGATGGTGTTCCCATGAATAACTCATACACGTCTTAAAGAGCACCTGGGCGGAAAAATGGTTGGAAGCAAGGCGAGGTTTGTGTGCATGTGCCATTTTTTTCCATCTCCCAAAGGTAACCGAACTTTGTGCGTGACATCAGCTCACGCAGGCAATCTGCTCCACCCTGGGAGTAAAGTATGAGTTTATTAAACATCTCAAAGGGAAAATCGAGTCTTTGAAATCAATCGCTCTTTGAAAGATTATGTTGTGGCCTGTTTTGCGGCCCTGCCGCATGGTTTCTAAATGTTTGACCTTCTACAAGCTTTTACGATTTCTACCCAGTTTTAACCTAATTTTCCTACAACACAAAGAGCTAGAACCCAACATGAAAGCTGGAATTGTTCACGTTTAAGACTGTCTGTGCATACTGATTGTCCTCTGGTTTAAGTATACTGTAACACAAGTGTGTGACAAACTAAAAAACGCAATATAGATTGTCATTGATGATGGATTTTAATCAGTCTTAAGCAAATTGTACACTGAAATGAAAAGACTGGTCAAGCTTCAGATTTTAAACTTTGTTGCTACTTACCATGTTTTACTTCAGACAAACTAAAAAAAAAAATTGAATACATATTTAGGTCTTCACATCACTTTTTTACCGAACATATATGCAAATAATCACATTTTTAATAACTGCCGGGAGGTCTCGTGGTGATATCTACATGTATTAGTTAGAAAAATTGCCATAAAGTGTGTGAAATTCTACAGTGCATAACTTTAAATGCTGTTTACTTGGAAAAAAGTTCATTCTCATACTCTGAGCCATAAAGAAACCGTTCCAGTTTTATTCCCATCTTTATTCCGAAGGTCATTACACATGGGCTGTATTCATACATCATTCATAGCCTGATTTATAGAACATTTTGTTCCAAAAAAGATGGTGAAAATCTATTTTTTTTTTCTAGCTGTTGAGAATTTCTTTTCTGTTTTATTGAGTAATAAAACCCCAAATTCCCTCTGTAGACCCTACAGTCTATATCAACAAACTGAAACACAACTTTTTTAGCTGACTTCATCCAATAAAATAGATTGTTGTTCTGAAACATTTTGTGCACACTGCCTGGGATTCAGACATAATCGTTAACCGTTAATCAGCTAAGGAGGTTTTATGATTGTATCTAACCCTTTTCTCATATTTCTCTGAAGACTCTCCCCCCTTAATGGAATTGTGCAGGCAGCACTTACACAGAAGTTATTATTTTAGTCTCTGCTTCTGCTATTTCTGCTCTTTGAATCTGCTGGAGAGCAGGTATAACAGCTCTTTCTGTCTGACATTTAACACCTTTACGATCCCTCCAGAGATACTTAATGGCTGCTCGGGTGTGAAAGTCTTCACATTATGGACAGGACTGAGTGTTTTCTGAAGAAAAGGGGATCCCCTGTGTTGGTATGCAGAAGGAGACCGTTGTATATTAGTCACTGGCATGTTATAGGTTTTTTGAAGGTGTGTGGCATTCTGCAGTCACCAACCAATTCATTAGGTTGAACTTTTGCCTTTAGAACATTTTTCGTGCCATAGACTGAGATCTGGTGACTGTGGAAGTCATTTGAGTACAGTGAACCCTTTGTCAAGTTCAAGGAAGCAGTTTGAGATTATTTGAGTTTTGTGACATGAAAATCCTGCTGCAAGCAGCCATCATGGATGGGTACACTGTAGTCATAAAGTGATGGACATGGTCAGCAACAATACTTTAGGCTGTCTTTTTTTAAAGACATTTTAAAGACTTTATTTAATCTTGTTACAGCAGCACAAGGGTCAGGAAGAAAAAGTGAATTAGAAACATATTATAAAAAAATAAGATGAAATAGGTATAATAGGGTACAAAAATACGTACAAATATGCACAAATTGTTACTATATCGAGTAAGACCCTGTATACTCAATGCTCATGTGGAACTAAGGGACCGAAAGAGTACCAAAAAGTCCCATTGTTCCATTTTGACGAGCCCGTTTGAACTGTAGCCTCAGCTTCCTGTTCTTAGCTGATGACACTTGCACTTGCTGTGGTCTTCTGCTGCTATAACCAATCTGCTGCCATGCCATGTAGACACCGTCTACATGTCTAAATACACCTAGCTGCTGACATGTGATTGACTAATTTGATATTGGAGGCAACAAACAGTTGAATGGGTGTACCTAATAAAGTGGCCAGTGAATGTAGTTGATAAAGTATGCACAGTCTCGTACTCAAACTCATTGTTCAGTGTACTTTCTTAGATTTCCCTCTTTGACTAAAACCAACCTGACAGGGAGAGGGACCACAAACCCCTACCCCCCACGTTCTCCTGAGGCATCATTTAAGGGATGAATAGAGCACTGCAAACTACTCGGGACACGTCCTCCCTTCATCTCGCTTCATCAGTGCTTGTGCAGAAGAGGGGTGTGGCTCTGGGTCAGAGGACAGGCCTACAGGGAGAGGCTGATATAGACATTTCAATCTGCCTGCTATGCTTGTTCATCTCCCTGTCAGGGAGACACTCAGCGGACAGCCACCCTATGACTCGGGAGGGGAGAGCACCCGCTTGTCATTAACAATCAGCCAGTCATGCTGTCACTGTCCTCATGGAAGGGAGATAATTTCAGCCAGAGCAATGAAAAACAACAAGCCATGCTTTGTGTCCTTGAATTAGGTCACGTAGTCCTTTTTTGGGACGGGTTACCCCAACTTCCCAGCTCCTTCTCATCACTACTGCCAATAATGGTTGTTTCAGTACATTAGGGTGGCTGCATGGAGGTAATTAATATTGACAAATTCAAATGTATGCAAATATTACAGACTTTATTATACACGGCAGGAGGTTTGACACAAACTGCTGAAGTGATACTTCTGCGGCAAATAAGACTATCTTGGTGAAATGGATTACCCTCTCCGTGTAAGGACAATCGCTGCCTTTGCAAGACAATTCTTTATTTTTCTGCTCCAAGGACATGCTGACCTAAATTGTGAGCTAACAAGCATGTAAACTACTTCCTGAGGCAGGAAGATATATATATATATATATATATATATATATGTGTGTGTGTAACTGGATATAGAGGTTGAAAAATATAAGATGAGAAAGTTGTATGAGCTTACTCTCTGAATAGCTGCATGACGCATGAATATACACATTCATCCTCCAACACCAAGTTAATAAACGGGCCAATTTTCTACATGTTTTTCTTTTCTTTTTTTTTTGTTTTGCTTCACGCCCAAAGTCTTGGCCTGAAAATATTATTTCATAAGAGAAAACACAGCAACTGGAGCTTCATACTCTCAGGTCTCACAGGCTTCTCTTGTGTTTGCACAAATAACAGACAGTAATGAAAGTGAACAGAAGCAGACATGTTTATTTCAGAATTTTTAAAGTATCTTTGTGCCTGACTCCAACAGCTTTGATGTGAAATGCTCTTTGTGTGTGTGTGTGTTCCAAACTTTCATCCGTGTAGATTGAGGGCACAGTTCACACCATATTCACATTTAAAAAGCAGATCTGGGTCACTCACATCTGAACGGGACATAAATTGCATTCTGGCCTTGTGGATTTGTACTATAACAATGTTCTTGTTGCCTTTTTCAAAAAAAAATTATTTTGCCTCTCAACTTTCACCACACGATTGTGCAGAGTCTCTTTCAGATTGCATGACTGGAGCACAGCGCTGCTCTGCCTTTAAAGCTGCCATCATCAGACACCCCTGATGACTCAGTTTAGGAGCACAGTTAAAACCAATCTCTCCTCCTCCCCCCAGTGTCTGGCAAGAATTCCTCTGACATTTTGCATTTGAGTTTGTCAGATCGCTGTGCCTTCAGTCATGTCCTACTTTTCTGCCATTTAAAACCTTTAAACACCTATAAGCGAATGCACAGTTCACCAGAACCGTGTAAACCTGGCCTCTGCAGGCACGGGGACAAGCGTTCCCGCTCTCCTCAGAGGTGGAGAGGATACCCGGTGTGACAGGCCTGCTCGCGCCCCGTGCTCTGTGCAGAGCTCGACTCCCTCTCTCTGTGTTATTTATGAGAAGTGCAGGCACAGCCCAAGTCCAAGGACCATCCCTAGTCAGTTAATGTGGTTGGAATATGAGCTCTTAGACGGGGTGTATAGATCTGAGAAAAAAAAGACAAAAAACACATTACAATCAATGGCTTCCCTGAAAAGATACCAGAGTGTATCACACCCACCCAGTTGTTTAAATGCACCTGTGTTTCCTGAAAGTCTCTTAGTTGTTTACTGACTAGGCTCTGACGGCAGAAATAAGAACCTCACAACTTCTCCCCAAACGCTCAGATTTGTCTTTGTGTTACTGACTGCGTGGCAAGAGCCCATTTCTGTATCCATGCTCCAGCAACATGAATTGTTATGGAAAACAAAAATAAAAAGGCAAAAACAGGTGCTTCTCAACCTCATTGGCGGCTTTGATACAATCCATTCCCCTGCATGGGCTCAGAAATTTCATGCTGCTATTATTGGGTGTTGGCTAGTTTCCTAAACGGGTTTCCCCCTCTGGACTACAGCATCCATCCATTTCGAAACAATGCTCAGCCTCCTCCTCTTCATCCTCCTTGCTAAAGAGCCTGCATCCATTTGCCTGGTGCTGTTTGTCTGCCGGATTCAGTGGGATTCATTATGTGGAAAGGGGAGGGGTAGGATTGGCATGCTGATTGGCCTCTTTACTCATGGATTAGCCATTAAAAAGCTGTTAGTGACTCTCTCACTATCAGCGCAATGCAATCATCGTGCTACAGATAAGGTCATTATTACTGTCTGCGCAGAGAGGTTAAAATCCCCCTTGAACTATGCTCAGTTTAAATTGGCGCATGCACTGGAGGGAGTAATGGACAAATTATTGCTCCCTCTGAGATATCACTGCTATGTGGTCTGTATGATAACACTGGGGGGAAAGCCATTAATATGTTTCTGTGTCCGCGAGTTTATTCCTCATATGCTGGTGTTTACGCATTTCAACCTAAATGAGACATACTGTGGCTATTTTTGGAAATAAAAGACAGCTACAGTGTTTGCTGCCTTTACTTGAACACTTCACAAGCCAGCGGGCAGTACTGTACAGTCCATAATTAGCCGTGTAGGAGGATGTGAGATGAGACAAGAAGAAGGTACGGGCAGAAAAACAAAAGACTACAAAAAAATCTTTAGTTTGTACCTGTTTGCTGCTCGCTGCAGAGCGTGAGTCACTGTTCCCAAAATTCATGATAAGAGATTGCAGCACATCAGAGGTCTACATACATCTACCCATCCTGCAACATGCACTGAGCTGACTCTAACCATCTGAGATAAATTGTGCTTTGTTTGCCTACATTTTCCTGGCCCGGTGGCTCCCCCAGAGGTGTAAAACATAATCCCAGACTTATTTGACTGAGTGATCCGAAAACACAAAAATCATGCGCCACCTCCTTGGCAGCCAGGGTTACAGCTCCAATAAGAAGCTGCAACAGCAGAGCAGATTGCTTTGGCTCCGAGACAAGCTTCGCCTTGGGAAAAGGTCTTTAAGGGAGTCGCACTGAGCTGCACTGAGCTCCGAGGTTCTCCTTATCAGGGGATGCAATATGCACAGCCCACCAGCTCTTTGAAATTCAGCAATTAAATGTCAAAGCCAATACCTCGCATGTTCTTACAGCTGTGGCCTTTTTTGAATAATTGAAAGATACTCGTGTGGACACCGAAACTGCTGTGCAGGCATTTGTCAGCATTTGCTTGTTCACTCCAACTTTTTCGGTCGATTACTGTGGGGATTTGTCTCCATAAAGACTGTTTGAGGTGGTTTTCTGCAAACTGCATGTGGTCGGACCCCACTGACAAACCTTTTTGCATTGTCTTGTAGGCGGACCTTCTCGGTGGTCGTCCTCTCACTGTGACTGCTGCTGCAAGAGCCACAAAAGCGAGCGCGAGGGAGAGAGCGGCACATCCTACAACGACCTCTCCACGTCCTGCTCCGAGACCCAGTCAGAGGCCAGTTCCCCTCAAGGAACCGTGATCTGCGGGCCCGTGAGCCGGCACTCCAACATCCAGACGCTGGACCGGCCGGTGCCTAAAGGGCCGGTTCACATGCTGCAGCAGGCAGAGATGCGCCGCAAGACTGACATGCTCCGTGTGAGAACCTTTGGAGTGCGGGAGCGAGAGGCTGCGAAAAGGAAAGCGAACAAGGAGAAGATGACTCCCGAGCAGGAGCTGGAGAAATGTATCCAAGACTTCCAGCGCATTAGGATTCCCGATCACTTTCCGGAAAGGAAGTACATGTGGCAATCAGAGCTTCTGAGGAAGTACCATCTCTAAATATAAGAGTGGAGGAGAGGCCAGAGAGAGTGAGAGATGGTGCCGTAGTATCATTTAACCATCAGTGGAGAGCATTAAACTGCATAGGCAATACACTGCACCCTCTAAGACATACTGTACTAGAAAAAAACAAAAACAAAACTGTGGCCACTTTCCTGCCAGGATGACTAGCCAAGCACACACAGTATGAGGCAGTGTGAGTCATTTATTTGTGAGGTATGCACAGTGTTGTGTACGATATGCACATGTGTAAATCAGGTTTCTCCTGCTGGGGCTGACATCACACACACACACCCTGTTCTCGCTTCGCGGAGCTGAGAGGCAGGAAACACTACCACTGACAACAAAGCAACCTCAGGGGCAACATCATTTCAGTTCATCAACTCACCACATACTGTATGTGCAATAGCCCACAATAGCTATTTTCTAAATGGATGTACCCAGATGGTGCTGTGAGTTAGCAACGGATTATCACTATACGTCACCGATGCAACATATACTTATAGTACGCTTTGAAAGCAGCACTGCATGTCATTTCACTCTTATCATAATTATGCAATATCAAGCAAAGTTTAAATTCACCGTTTCGTGTGACAGGTAAAAGTGGCGTGTCAGGACCGAGGCCGACTTCACCGAAGAAAGCACTGCCTAGATCTGTTTTGCCATTGTGAAACTTTTTGTCCATTGACGTCATTATGTGTTGGATAGCTGATGTTGTGTAGGTAGAGTGTATAATGCCAATGGATACTGATCTAATCCTTGATTGTATGTGTGCATAAAAAAAGTAAATAAATGAGTAAGAATTCTGTTCCTTCATAATGAGCCTTCTTCAAAACTTTTACAACTTTTAACAAATGATGACCTACTTCAGTACTTACACTTGCTATTTTGTTTCTAAGAGTGCTTTAAGAGATTGATATAGCTTCTGGGTCTGAGAAGCCAATGCAGCAGTACCTTTAACCTGCATTCCTTCTAATGGCCAGCAGCTCATTTTGTAACTCATGGTGGTTATTATAGTCAGAAAGAAGGATTATCCAGGGTGTGTGTGTGTGTGTGTACTTAGTTTTACAGTTAAACCTGCCCCTCCCTCATCATGTCCTGTCTCAAAGCACCAAGACTGATGGCAAAAACGAGACGCTATTTCTATCTTATATATTGTCTGTGGTTTACTTTAATAAATATAGCTACTGAAAGTGCCCGAGTATCTACGTAGTGCAACCTGGTAACTTGTGAGGTCAACAAAGAGGCTATTGTGCACAGATATGAATAGAGATGTACCTTCAAAGTTTGGTTAATTTTTCATGCCCACCTTGAAACTAGTGATCCTGCTTTCAGGTTTTGAAGTTGCATGATCATCCGGTACTGTGTGAAAGCCTCGAGCCACTTCTCATTTCTTTATATTTTACTTCGAATGAGCATAGGGTGCTTTGTGGCCTTAAAAATTTTGAGGAAATTGGACATGTAGAAGACAAACAAAAAGAAGAAGTGGCAGGCCTCAAAAAATAAATACATTCATGTTCTTAAGAAATGGAAAAAAATCCAAAAGAACAGACCAAACAGTCAAAACAACACAACTGACAAAACTGTTCATCTGCTCAAGTTCCTCAAACATTATACTGCTAATATATCTGGTTAGCTAGCTCAGTGCTGTAAGCTAGTAATTCTTCTAAAGTAAAGCAGTTTCCTGTGTTTTTAAGCTAACGTGTGTGTGTGTGTGTGTTTACTTTTACAATTAATCATGTCCTGTCTCAAAGCACCAAGACTGATGGCAAAAACGAGACGCTATTTCTATCTTTTATATTGTCTGTGGTTTACTTTAACAAGTATAGCTACTGAAAGTGCCCGAGTACCTACGTAGTGCAACCTGGTAACTTGTGAGGTCAACAAAGAGGCTATTGTGCACAGATATGAATACAGTCGTACCTTCAAAGTCTGATTAATTTTTCATGCCCACCTTGAAACTGGTGATCCTGCTTTCAGGTTTCAGGCATGATCATCCAGGCTACCATCTTTGCTACTATCAGCTTGTTGCTAAAACATAACAATTTGTTCCCATTTCTGTGAATCAGTGAAAAATGCCAACAATAACCTAGTTTGTCAATAATCTAGTCAATAACCAAATGTTATACTAAAAAACAAGAGGCAGTTTTCTCTATTAACACCACATCTGGGTATTTAGTTGACATTTGTTGTGTGTTGCTCCAAGCAGCTTGCTGAGCTTAGACTGTTTCAGTTTTTTCATGTAAGCCATGGTGTTGACATCAACAATTCATGGGGCCCATACCCTCTGTTGTATAGGGCTAATTGCTGTTTTTGCAAAATAGCTTTTTATTGTTTTGATTAGAGTCCTTGTTGTGCTGGAGACCGTAAATTTGATCACATCTGTGACTATTTTCACTAATTGAACTCCAGATTTGCAGGTTGTAACTTGCTTCACCGTAAATTTCTTCTTCCCAACTCCTCTGCAAAGAAAAACCTTCGGTCAGATGTGGATATTTTTAAGTTTCATTAGTCCAGAGTACCTACCTATTTTTTAGAATCCCAATTTTGAGCTGATGGGCAACCCTGAACACTGCAGTCCTTGGCTGACCACTGTGTTTCTAGTACTCAGTCATAGGCCTTTGTGCTCGTGAAGACCTGAAAGAGTTAGACAGCACGTCTGGAAAGAATTATATAAAACCTCTGCCTGTAACAGACTTTGCTGAGGCAGGATGATCACATCGTCGTTTTGACCACTCTTACGGTGTGAAATTTTTATCTTTTCGGCAACATCACTGTTTCAGTATAGCTTTCATTTCCCTTACAAAGCTGTTTGTGTTTTACTTATTAATCCTATTCCTGTTTATTAGCATTAGTATCCAGTGGTAATGGACACATTGTGATCTGTACTGTGACCAGGTGGAAGAGAGCCTGGAGAGGTGGAGGTATTCTCTGGAGAGAAGAGGAATGAAAGTAGAAGCGAGACAGAACATGCAAAGAGTACAGGTAGTGAAGATGGATGGAGTTAAAATACCCGGGGTCAACCATTCAAAGTGATGAATAGTGCATAAGAGAGGTGAAGAAGACATCGCAGACAAGGTGGAGTGGGTGGAGATAAGTGTCAGGGGTGATTTGTGATGGAAAAATAGAAGCAAAAGTGGAAGAGAAAGTTTAAAATATGGTAGTGAGATGATGTATGGATGGGAGCCAGTGGCACTGACAAAAAGTAAGGAGGCAGAGCTCAAGGGGGCAGAGTTGAAGATGTTAAGACTTTCATTCAGACTGATGAAGACGAACAGGATTAGAAATGAGGCACAGCTCAGGTTGAGTGTTTTGGAGACAAAGTTAGAGAGGCAAGGCTGAGATGGTCCGGACATGTGCAGAATGGGAATGGTGGACATACTGAACAAAACATGCTGAATATGGAGCTGTCACACTGGAGGAAAAGACAAAAACCACAGGGAAGACTCATGGATCAGGACAGGGTGAGATGGATGATAATCTGCTGTGGCAACCCCTAAAGGGAGCAGAAGAAAGAAGGATAAGACTAGTATTTGATGCGTATAAACAGTACACTTGTTTCCTTTTGTACAAATTTCTGCAAACTGATTTGAAAACATTTTTCTTTAAATGTAATCTCTGTTCTGCTTATCCAGGTATATTTATTAAGCAGCCATACCAGGGTTGTTACAATAAACAGTACTGTTTGTTATTCATAGGTCGACTACACAGATCATCGAAGGCGGATGCTGACATAGTTTTAGATACAGACGTTTAGCACAGTATCATGTCTGCAGTTGTTTTCACTTACAAAGTCTGCTTCTGACACCAACATCTGAAAATGAAGTATGTAAATACGCCTTCCATGTCCTGTTTTCCTCCACACAGAGATGCCTTATAGATTTTCCACATACAGAAGCTCGTCTACGCTGGAAACAAAACCATGCTCCCTTGAGATGCACTGCATCACCTGCTCATCCCACACAAACTGGCTTCATTTAAGAAGTGAAATAGATCCCTGCTTGTTGACATTTTAATGTCTGCCTCATCCTCTCGAGAGGATCTTAAAGAAAGGCGAAGAAAACCATAGCATAGAGAGCACTATTTTTAGCAAACAGATTTCTGCAGTGTTCCTTACTGCATCCGTAAGGAGCGAGGCTTAGGGAGCGTATCACTGCAACCCAAAAACAGCCCCTGCGATGATAGATGAAGACCTGCTTCTCTCTTGAGGCAGCCAGTGTCCTCCAACACAAGTTCCAAGGAAAAAAGCTTTGTTATAGGGCTTGGTGATTTTTGCTCTGTCTGCAGAAATGCATTTGATAATAACCAGATTATAAGTGAGGAAGGGGAATACCTCTCAAGAGCTTCCATCAGTGTCAGCTAAGGCATAAATGCAAACTGGAACCTATAATCCTGGGGCAAAAAAGCATCAGCTTACACCCATATGTTAGAGAAAAATTCAGGCCTGTAAGCCTCTATTAAAGTCCTTTTAACTGCTCTGTAACTAAGAAGTGATGTGGGTAAGGATGTAAATGGGCTTTCTGAAACTCACTAAAAAAATATGCATTAGATCCGTAATAACTCAGTGACGGTGACATAATGAATTTGTCATGGATATCATGGTCCTTCCGCCTCTCCTGCACTCTGCACCTGCACTGATATCTCTTCCTCTCAGCCGTCATTCAACAGCACCGCAGCATGAAATCTCTTTGAAATTCAATGTCCCTTTCCCCGACTTTGAGAACCACATCCGCTTTGGATGACATTTCGCCTCGCACAATCTGAATCCTAATACCTCAATGGAAGAAAAAAAAAGAAAAAAGAAAATCAATCATTCTGTTTTTGCATATCAAATATGCACAACATCACAGTGTAGCATGGCCGAGCCTGGCCCTGCACAGGTGACCTTGCTGACATATCCCACAGAACCACCTGAACACGGCCGGCATCGCTCTGCTTTCCTTACAGATCAATACCCTCAGATCCTGGCCCGGGCCTTTCTAGTCTTTATAGACAGTCGATAACCAACATCCTCCTCAAGGATGCAAGCTAACATTAAATCTTCACTCAAAAAGCATCCCTGCCACCGCTAACTACCCTCAATTATCTGCCAGGGCTGCCTGCAGGCCTTGCATTACACACAGCAGCTTTCTTCAGCACAAGGCAGGTCTGACAGCGTGATTACAGCCCTTGTATTAGAAAATTACAGCACAGCCTGTGAGGATTCAGGAGTGGGAGAATTACCCTGATTATCAGATATTAGGCGACCAGAGAAAGGATGTTATTCACAAAAGAAATAATGGACGTATGATGTAAAACCAGGCAAACGGGATTACATTTTTTTTTTTTTCCACACAAGGACTGTGAGGATTAGGCTCTGCATTGTATGAGATTTAGATGAGGCTATGTTGTTCTTCCTTATGTTATAAATCCAACCTGATAACTGGTGTCATTGTTGCAACAAGAACGATTTAGGCAGCTATACAATAAACAAGCCTATGCTCTCTTTTTTTTTGACAAGCTTGGCATAAAAAGATGAATTATACAATTTTTCATTCTTCTGACAAAAAACAGTTCTTAAGGGAGAGGTTTCGCTGTGTTTCCATAAATATCCATTTTCAGCTCATTCATCTAATTTTAGATGACTGACATCTCTGGGTTTTATGGGGAAGTGAATGGAAATGTTTCCAAGTTAGGATTTATCTCCTGTGGTACGTATCTTTGTTTATTTGCATCTTTCCTCATTGCTATGGCAGAAGAGGGTATTCCCAGGATTGCGCCACAGTGTCCTTTGATAATATGATTGTGCACTGAAAAAAAAAATCTTGCAGCTCA